CGGGCGCGGCGCGGGGCCCGCGCGTCCCCCGCCGCGGCGCGCTGACCTGAGACGCAGCCTCCGCGCCACGCTCCGCCGGTTTCTGCGGCGCAGCCAGACAGGGCCGGACACGGTGCGCTGGAGCCGCAAGCTCAGCATGTGTGTCTCGGCGAGTCCGGGTTTCCCCACGCGCCGGGAGCCAAAGAATTGTCAGGACCGGGTCCCTCTGGGTCAGTTCATACCTGGGCCCCGTCCTCACCCGTGTAAAATGAGCAGAAACAACATACACGGAAGAGAGACCTGAAGCCACGTGGTACAAGCGCCCCGGGCGGCGACGAGCGCTGCCAGGCCCGGGTGACACGCTCGGAACCGGGCTGGAGGGCGACGCCTGGCGCGGAGACGGCTCAGCTCACACACGTCGGAAGCTGGCTCCGTGTGCGCTCAGAACCCGTCAGGGGACTGGGGAAGGATGGCGGCTATTTTAGCCCTAAGGCGGAGGCTTTCGGAAGTCGAAGGCTATCGTCCCTCTGAGACTCCCAGTCAGCTGCTCGGAGTACGAGAAAGGAGGCAGAGACATTTTTCGAGCTCTCATCGTCCGCAGGCCGAGGAGATGCTGCGCCCTTTATGTGTTCTCAGAGCACGGCGCTTCGGGGAAGCGGGCATCTGTTTGTCCCCGGTGGTCACCGCCCTGCGGAACCCAGGCAGTACCAGCTGCTTCTCATGTCCAGCCACTCTGCCCCTCCCACCCAGTCCACCTGCCCCTTGTAAGGCACTCTGGATGGAGACTGCAGAGGCCGGAGACAGGGGCAGGAATCTCGCGCCAGCCCGAGTGCTGAGAGGGCACCTCTTGTCCTGGGGTCCTGGGGTGTCCTCTGCAGCTACCAGACAATTCGTAAGCCTGCCCATTTTCAGTAGGGCCTCCTTGACGTGCAGATGTCCTGCTACTTGGGCTTTATGACACAGAAGAGCCATCGGCCTGGAGTGATCCAGACAGACAGAAATACTCTAAAGTTTATCTCTGCCTTAGGCCAGCCCTGCCCATTGTCTGTGTGCACCTAGGTCACGCGCCCAGGAGCAAACCTCCTTGTCAGACCCCTCAGAGGGCAGCCACCCTCCCGGGAGCTTGTGGCCTCCGGATCTGCCTGCACCTCGCTTTCCAGACCGTCATGTGACCTCTGACCTTCCCGCCCTCACTCCAAACGCAGGCGGGGACTGCAGAACTGCCGTTCCCCGGAGTATCTGACATCTTGCTCCCCAGGATATGTTTTCAGTTTTGGATCAAAGAAACTCATAAAAATTCTCTACAGGTTTGGATTTCTTAAATCGACAATACCAACCTAGACTTAATACCTGGTTTAACTGTCGTTCAACTTCTCTCAGAAACACAGTCTTAACCACTCTGGAATTTTCTATTCAACACCAGTGAGGCAACCTGTCTAGTGGACCCTCTTCACCCTCCATAGGAAGGAGAGGTGACCTGTTTGTTAAATCCCTTGAAGTTCCCGCCCTGCAAAAGATGTCCCACCCCAAAGACTCCTTTCTTCTCTTTTGCTGGTAGCGCCCTTGCCCCCACTGTCCTGCCTCTAAAACCTCCCAGTTCTGTGCAGCCACTGAGTGCCCTTCTCGTCCTGATTCATAAACTGCTTAAAAAAGCCAATTAGACTTTCAAATGTACTTAGCCGAATTTTATTCTTCCATCAGATGTAGCTCTGATGAAACTCTCCCACTAAAATCTTTCGCCATTTCGCTTTAACAAGCCTACCCAAGTCCTCACAGACTAAAGCACATAAGGCCAGGCAGTGAAGAGAGGACAGTTACGTGTGGCTTCTGTGTTGAGGTGGTTAGTGACCTGATTTATAGCTTTACCGCTTACAAACTGAGAATCTGGTTGAATAAATAACACCCTTTCTTGTCTTACTCGGAGTGGGCCGCTGTGACGAATACCATACATGGGGGGCTTAAACAACACACATTTATTTCTCACACTCTGGAGTCTGGGACATCCAACCAAGATTAAGGTGTCGGCAGATTCACTGTCTGGTGAAACTGCTTCCCAGTTTGCCGGTGTTGCCATCTCGCTGTGTGCTCACACGATTTCTTTTTTGTGGGCTCGAAAAAGCGGGGAATGCTCCGGTCTCTTCCTCTTATAAGACCACTGATCCCACATGAGGAATCTACCAACTGACCTCTCGGGAAAGGCCAAATGCGTTTTGCCTCAAGGCCTTTGCATTTCCAGGCCCCTCTACTTGGAGTACGCTTCCCCTAATATCTGCCAGTCTAATTTCTTTTCAATTTATGTAGGTTTCTGATAAGGTAACACCTTTAAAGAGGTTACCTCCACTTACTAATTAAAATAGTAGCCCCGTTATGGCCCGCAGCTTATGCATTTCCTCACAGGTTGCATGCGCCTAACACCCCTGACGACACACATCCCCGTGTGTGATTCGGTGCCTCCTGACCTGGGAATCCACGGGGGCAGGTTTCCTGGGCTGCTTTCACGGTGCTATCCCGAGCTGATACAAGAATGCGTGTGCATTCCGAAGGAAGAGCACCCAAACTTACAAGTATTAAGACTCAGAAACTTCCGTACGCCTTAAATCGATACATCTAATTCCCACTGAACTTAAGGTCTAAAGAAAATGCAAACGAAAACTAAGAGCAGAATTTTAAGAACTTGGCCATTAGAACTAGATGACTTATTCAGGCTTTTATTTTCCAGGACCCTTCTGCATACTGAGAACCGCTACATTCATTTTTGAATATCGGTGCAGCTTGAGAACACCACAGTGGGGTACCATGGACATTATAAAGTGGGTTCTGTAACTTGCTGGCCTGATTTCATCTGGGATTTCTCATCAAGCGGGTTCTGGACACACTGGCCGCCGTTCCTCCCCAGGTTGTCCTTTGAGGTCAGACCACTTTCAAGACCAGAGGGGTTGCACGCCCTCTCTGGAGGCGAGAAGCACTTCCTAAGAGAGACCACCACAAAATTAAAACGTGGGCTTTGTGCCAGCTTTCTGACAGGGTGAGTGGCTCTGAAAAGAGCCTTTGTTTTCCGCGTCCCTAACCTCGCTCCTCACTTGGCCTTGTGGTGGCTCTCGGTCCTTCTTGTTGTCGCGCGCCGCGTTGCCCGCCAGCTCCTGGATATCGGCCGTCAGGTACTCCAGCACGGCCTCCAGGTACTCCAGCACGGCCTCCAGGTACAGGGGCACGACTGCCAGGTACACGCGCGCGCCGGCGCCCACCCGCTCGGCGTAGTTGCCCTTGCGGAGCAAGCGGTGCACGCGGCCCACGGGGAACTGCAGCCCGGCCCGCGAGGACCGAGTCGCCGAGCTTTAAAATGTCACTAGGAATGCATCAAGAGAAAGGGTGGGGCATCTTATAAACCTTTTTGGGCGCGAAAATTGCAGCTTCACCCTGAACAGTGGAAATGCAAATTTGGATGTGACAGTGACGGCACTGATTGGTTGAAATGTTGTCTGTCCAATAGGAAAGAGAAATGTGACAGTGTACTGATCATCCAATCAGAAGGGAGAAGTCTTCATCGTTCATTTACATTGAGGAGCATATATAAGCGAATGGGCTCTGCAGTCTTCACACTGACTGTGGTGAAAAGTGCTACTAGCAATTCTACAAGTTGTAGGAGAAGCCATGCCTGAACCTTCCAAGTCAGCGCCCGCCCCGAAGAAGGGCTCCAAGAAGGCGGTGACCAAGGCGCAGAAGAAGGACGGCAAGAAGCGCAAGCGCAGCCGCAAGGAGAGCTACTCGGTGTACGTGTACAAGGTGCTGAAGCAGGTGCACCCCGACACCGGCATCTCGTCCAAGGCCATGGGCATCATGAACTCGTTCGTGAACGACATCTTCGAGCGCATCGCGGGCGAGGCGTCGCGCCTGGCGCATTACAACAAGCGCTCGACCATCACGTCGCGGGAGATCCAGACGGCCGTGCGCCTGCTGCTGCCCGGGGAGCTGGCCAAGCACGCCGTGTCCGAGGGCACCAAGGCCGTCACCAAGTACACCAGCGCCAAGTAAGTGCCTGTGCAGGCACCTCTTAACCCAAAGGCTCTTTTCAGAGCCACTAAGTTGTCAGCATTAGAGCTGTGGACACGTCGTGCACCTACGCCTAAACATGGGCGACGACTTCAAGGTGGTGGTGACCAGTCCAGCATACTGAGTAAAACCTGTGCTGGTGACGTCTTTGGCTAGAAGGAACCTGGATATCCTTACAAGCACCTCTTCTATAATCACATGATTATTAAAACAAGGCACGTTAAAGTGTGTGTGTGTGTGTGTGTGTGTGTGCGTGTGCGCGCGCGCGCACGCGTGCATGTGTACACAGTAGTTCCTGGCTCTGCCATGGAAGCGGGCCCTGCGGCCGAGTGCTTGTTGAGTGGCTTCCGGCTTAAACGCTAAGAGCCCGTGGGTCACGCATCCTTTTCCTCCGCCATCCCAGTTCTGTTTATTTTCCAGTAAGTGTGGCCCACGCTTTTCAAGTGCCAGCCTATTAGCTCTGCGGTTACCCCATCTATTTAGGTGGTATGTCCTGATTAGAAAAATTTAGATTGGGGGCCAGGAGCGGCTTTAAATTGGCATGGTGATCCACTTCCATTCTTTTTAAACAAATTTTGGCCTCCTCAGCCCATTTTGGAGTCTGGACAACGTCAGACCACCAGGGAGGGATGAAGGATGCCAGGCAAAGATGAGAAGCGTGGTCTTCTGAGTAGAGAAATGGAACACGAGGACTCACAAAAAGACACCAAGCACCTGAGTTCCTAGATTTTAAATTGAAGTAAATCTATAAGGCTGGAAAAAAAGGATAGGTGGTTTGATGGGGGCGGGGGCGGGGGAGACGAGGGCGCGTCGGTAAGAGCCGGAATCTTGTTCGGCCTTCAAGAGTTTGAGGCAGCTGTTTAAAGTCTGCGCGTTTCCCTATTTTAGGAAAGGACATCAATCTGAGCTTGACGACCCCTCTCGCGGTTTAACTCTGTGCTCTCCAGAGAGAGGAAATGTCCGAGTGGACGCAGTGAGAATAAAAGCGACTTCTTCCGGCTCGCGGCCTGACCGGCAGTAGGGGCGATGGGAGCGACTGCATCTGACTGGATTAGCCACAGTCAGGTCGCGTGCCCTTCCTGACACATTTGCCCAAATCCTCCATTTCAGGACTAGGAGCACTCCCCACCCACTCTGCGATGGCCTCTCTGTAGACTGAGAGACTGGTGAAGAACATCACAGGTCTGGTTGGGGACTGTAATGTACCTGTGACCTGGTTATTTGACTAGGCTGTCAGTGCCTCTATTTTGCTATTTTAAAATCAGGATGATAAAACCATCTCATATGAATATGCCATGAGATGATCCCTGCAGAGCATTTAGCACGAATTCGAATAAACTTTCAACATATCTTAGGCATGATGTCTTCTTCACTCTTTCTTTTGTCTTTCATAGTGCCTTGCAAATGTTTGTCATTCTGTTAATTATTCTCACTATGAGAATAGGAACATCAATATGTTAACAGCTTTTTCAAGTCAAATATGAAATATTTTGTGCACTGATGCCTGCAGGTTTTTGAGGAATCGAAGAAAAGGGAAATAACTCCTATATCGAAAAGTGTTTGCAAAAACTGAAAAATATAAATTGAACATTACTAAAAATTTTTGTGCATTGAAAGATATCAATCACATTTCAAAACAAAGCAAACCAGAAGATAACAGACTATATTTTCACTTGCTGACAAGAGATTAACAGCCAAAAAATATAAAGAATACTTACAAATCATAAATAAATCCCAGGAAATAAAAAAAATGGACAAATTATATGGACAGGCTGTTCCCAGAGGTAACGGACAGAAGGAGTACGCCTCAACAGCCAAAATATCCCATGAAATAGCAACTATACTGTAATCAGAGAAATGTAACTTAAATACACAGAGATACTATTTAGCAAATCCTTACACTGGTAAAAACTGTAGTCCATCCAACATTTGCAAAATGTCGGAGATACAAAGTAACAGGAACTCAATATTGGGGAAATATGAGAGTGTAAAATAAAAAAATACGACTTGGAAAGCAAATTGCTCATTGCTCTTCATGTGGCATATGCACATAGCCTATTACCAAGCAGTTCCACTCCTAGATCTGTAAGCAGAGAAAATACTCAGTTGTGTGCAATGTCTGCTGCAGTGCTATTTGAGATGGGGAGTGGGAAGAAAGAAATTTAAATTTTCAACAGAAATGAATATATAAGTGATGCACCATTGATGGACTACAAAACAGCAAAAATAAGCGCATTACACGTTTCAACATGATTAACTTCAAAAACAAATGTACAAAAACAAGTGTTTCATAAAGACAGGTACAAAAAATATATTCAAAATTTTTTAAAATGTGTGAAATGGCGCTATATACGGTTTAGGGGTATACGCATCTAAAGTTAAAAGAGAAAACATGGAAATAGCAAACACCAAAGTCAGGACACTGGCGAATTCCAGGGCGGGGAAAACAAAGGTGTGCTGTGGAGAAGGGACATATGAGCGATTAACCGTACGCGAATTAATTTAAGCGGTAACATTTAATTTAAGTGGTATCGTTTAATTTCTTAAGTGGTATGGCTTCAGTAGCATCTTTTGTGTACCTGATAAGTATTTAAAGTAATATTTAAGAGCAAAGGTAGGAAAGGAAGCGCATCCATTAGAAAGATTCTTAATACCGCCCCAAATTGTTCTCGTGGTTTGTAAACAAAAGTATAAACGGAGCCAGAGCTGCCATCCCAGAGCAACTGCCTTGAGTGTCTTAGGCCTCAGTACTTGGAACACATGTGGCAAAGTAACCATTGGACCGGGCCCAGGGGAACATGATGTCCCAAAGGACTGTTTGCAAAGATAACAAGGGAGCACATACTTATGGCCACCTGACTGAAAATTAAAACCACTGTTTGAGTAGCCTCACTGCTAGATTTCCGCACCAACGCCTTCCTTGTATCGAATTGTCCCCTTCCCTTTGTCATACACATCCCTGGCCTTTGTCTCCCGATCGCAACGCTTGGGCTCTTCTGTCCACCCTCACTGCTTCCCCAACCGCGGTTCTTATCGATGAAACAAAGGCTTGTTTGCGCCTCACTTTAAAAGGCTTTTTTACTAACGAGTAAAATGTGGAGAAAGATGCGTTTCCCAAGGCGGCAGAGGAGTGCCGGGCCACACCGCGAGACTGAAACGGCTCTTTCCTCAGGGTTTCTGCCGAGGTCAAATTTGACTTTGCTGACGCCCCCCGTGGGAGTGACAGGGAACTGGGGTGCCGGGGAGGCGGCTCCGGGCACACGCAGCACGCAGGCGCGGCCGAGGAGCGGGCAGCACCAACCGCGGCCAGGAAGCGGGTAACAGCACCCAGGGCGGCATGGACGACCCCGGCCAGTCATCGAGTGATGTGCCCTGGGCGAACCCTCAGTAAGGGACATGGAGTTACTAATCTAGCAAACTGCACCAAATTCACGAAAACGGCTCCAATTAAACACTTTGCAATCACCCGAGCTCTTTAGATGAAAATTTGGGGGCCCTGAAAAGGGCCTTTGGTTTTGCTGCAGAAAGCGAGCCGGGGTTCAGACTCAGCCCCCGAAGCCGTAGAGCGTGCGGCCCTGGCGCTTGAGCGCGTAGACCACGTCCATGGCCGTGACCGTCTTGCGCTTGGCGTGCTCCGTGTAGGTGACGGCGTCCCGGATCACGTTCTCCAGGAAGACCTTGAGCACCCCGCGGGTCTCCTCGTAGATGAGCCCGGAGATGCGCTTGACGCCGCCGCGCCGCGCCAGGCGCCGGATGGCGGGCTTGGTGATGCCCTGGATGTTGTCGCGCAGCACCTTGCGGTGGCGCTTGGCGCCGCCCTTGCCGAGCCCCTTCCCGCCTTTACCGCGACCAGACATGATGCTGGAAGACAGAAACCAGAACTAGGGCCTGGGGAGCCACGGCTCCGTTTTATAGGCAGCCACGGCGGACCGGAGTGAAAACCTAGGAGCTGCAGCCGGAAGTCGCTCCGGGCTGCAGACCTGACGGCGGAACCGCCGGGCCCGCCCGCTCCTTTGTTCTCTTTCACTCGGTTCTTTTTAACCCTCAGCTCTGATTCTGTTTTTCTCCCCTTGCTCTTTTAACGTTTCGTTCCCCATCCTCATCAAACGGCGACACTTTAACATCAAAACCAGCAGAAAACGTTTTTATCTCTACATGTATCCATGTGTTTTCTTTAACAGTATTTGCACACTACCATTTCTCAATATACAGGGAGGGGAAGTACGAGCCGCATACCGAGTTCCCAGAAATAGAACAAGATGGACCACCAGAGAATTTTACGATCTTCCGGTACCTCACAAGTGATTTTACTTAGTTGCAACCATTTCTTTCAGTACGATGGTAAAAACTGTGTTAAATCTATACATTTATTAGAATAAATTTATATTTGAAATATAAATTTGTCCTATCCTGAAAATTACCGAATCCCTCCGCCAACTCAGGCATGATCAGCAGTGTTTTCTAGATAATATTTTAAAAATTAAAAAGAACTTTCATTAATTACAAAGGCAATTAATTTCAAACTGATGCACAAATGGAAAATTTAAATGCAGGGGAAATAAAGTGTGTTTTTATTTTTAATTCTATTTCTCCAACATTAACTAGAATACATTTTATACTCTTCACTACTTTAAAAATCAGTAAAATTCCCACCAACCAGTAGCCCTCCCCCCAGTGTGATTTCATTTTTCGCCTAGAAAGTAGTGAAACAAGGTCGGCAATGGGTGGACATCTGGAAAGTTTCTCAGACTCTTTATAGATCCTGAAATCGAGAGTCAAGGTTTTTATTCTTCTATAGACATATACAATTTTATAAAAATGTAATGGTATTTGAACTGCTTCCTGATGTACTAAATGGCTTAGTATATTAAGATATACTTAGTTAAAATCAAGGTATTTTCCTTGTGTCTTTACATTCCTTTACAGTTGAAGTGGGACAGAAATTGCCACCTGACACTGCCCCTATTTGGCAGGAGGGTTATTTCGAGCTGATTATTTTTGGGAAACAGCAGACACAAGAGAAATCTCTGAAAAAAGTAGTTCTTTTTTGTAAGAGATATTTCCATCTGTAAGGAACATCTCCATTGATAAATGTTTCCCCCTTATCCCACCCTTCCCCTACCTGGAAGAGGGGACCACTCACTGGAGAATCTCATCAAGGGGAGGCATCTACTCAATCTGCAGACAAAACCTGCCCTGTTCATCTCCCTTTTCCTGGTATCCTCATAATTGCCCTGCGCCCCTTTCTTCCTATTGTCTGTGGCTGAAGATGGTACATAAGGTGGAGGCGAGGGTCATTTATGGGAGCTCACTCGATTTTCTTCAGTATATTATGTATCCCTCATGTATACCTCTCCTACACATTCAGTACGCACGCAATTCATCAGCAAAGTTTTAGTCACATTTGCAAAATACATCCTACCCCTTACCATTGTCTATCCCGCAACTGAGGCCAGGCCACCATTCTCTCTCAAAAAGAACGCTGCAATACCTTCCTAATTTACATCTTTACTTCTAAAGTTTCACCAAAATTAGTTGCTTTAATTAACTTTCAAAGAAATGTAAATCAGGTTATGCCATTCCTCTGTTCAAAGCTCTTAGACAGGCCTTTTAGAATAATTTGCAAAGTTCTGATGACAAAAACCCTGTGTCATAAAGCCATAAAGGATTGACCTGTTTAAAACAGATCATCCCTAGGCAGGGTGGGAGCTGGGCTGAATGCAGGTGGTATCCATTAAGATGCAAAACAAATCCTTTCAACAGCAGACTGGGGGGTGGTTTTATTGCTGGGTAGGGAACTAAACCATTTGCATCTAAATGTTCCCGTTGACCAAGCGTTTTTTTCCATCCTTTCCTCACGGGTTAACCCTGAGGCCAGGGGCACTGATTGCCCTAATTACCTGCGCCACAAAGTATTCCTTTTACATGGCCGATGGTAACTTTATTGTAACTTTCAAGTTGGTTAGTTTCCCGTCTCTGTCGTTTAAGTACCGACACCTACTGACCAACTGCGGTATGTCACTTTCATTAGCCAAAATAAGGAACGTGCAGCCCTTTTAGTGAAAACGTGGGTGGCTCTGAAAAGAGCCTTTGGTTTGGACTCGGCCTGCTCGAGCGGCTGCAAACAAAAGCAGGCGCCTACTTGCCCTTGGCCTTGTGGTGGCTCTCGGTCTTCTTGGGCAGCAGCACGGCCTGGATGTTGGGCAGCACGCCGCCCTGCGCGATCGTGACCTTGCCCAGCAGCTTGTTGAGCTCCTCGTCGTTGCGGATGGCCAGCTGCAGGTGGCGCGGGATGATGCGCGTCTTCTTGTTGTCGCGCGCCGCGTTGCCCGCCAGCTCCAGGATCTCGGCCGTCAGGTACTCCAGCACGGCCGCCAGGTACACGGGCGCGCCGGCGCCCACCCGCTCGGCGTAGTTGCCCTTGCGCAGCAGGCGGTGCACGCGGCCCACGGGGAACTGCAGCCCGGCCCGCGAGGACCGAGATTTCGCCTTAGCGCGCGCCTTTCCCCCTTGCTTACCACGTCCAGACATCGCAAACAACGAAGGAACCCCTCCAAAAGGAAAACCGAGGACTCGCCCAAACAGATCGCTTCTGGGAGTAGGGAGCACACTGCTGCCTTTATAGGCAGTTCCTGGGCACTAAATCGGCCAGTATGATTGGCTAATCAGAGACTCGGGCAACTAGCCAATAGAAAAGCTTTATTTCCATACCTCATTTCACTAGTTCGGCCCC